TTACCCTAAATATTGCTCAATTATAAATAAAATAAGTTGGAGTAAGGCAACTAACTCATACACAACTGACTCTTTCATTCCTTGCCTCTTCTTCTCTTTCCTCTATCTTTCTCTAGCCCTAATATCAATTTATTGCTTTCAACTATATATATATATATATAATATATATATATAGAGAGAGAGAGAGAGAGAGAGAAAGAGAGTCCCGTTCAAGTACACGACATCGTGTGCTAAAATTTTATCCGCAAATTGAATTTAAACTGTCGGATAAATCCAACGGTGGAAAGTGGGCACTACACTTACCCATATGAAAGAGTACATCTTGATATTACTTGTGTATGTGGTCATAAAATGTTAGCCTTTCTCTCGTATTTATTGCAGACTTGCAGTCACTTCATGGTCTCCACTTTCTCTCCTATGTTATCATTCTCTAAACCATAGTTATAAAAATCGTACGATTCACGATTCGATTCGATACAAGTATAAACTGTCGAATTTAAACTGTCGGATAAATCCAACGGTGGAAAGTGGGCACTACACTTACCCATATGAAAGAGTACATCTTGATATTACTTGTGTATGTGGTCATAAAATGTTAGCCTTTCTCTCGTATTTATTGCAGACTTGCAGTCACTTCATGGTCTCCACTTTCTCTCCTATGTTCTCATTCTCTAAACCATAGTTATAAAAATCGTACGATTCACGATTCGATTCGATACATGTATAAAACGATTCGTATCTTATATGAGAATCCTTTTAGAGTTGAATCGCACATGAATCGTGCGATTCGATTCGATCTCACGAATCGCACGATTCACTCACTTTTTTTAAAACCCAAATTTTTTTAAAAACAGCGTCGTTTTGTCTGCTAAACAATAAAACGACGTCGTTTTTTTTACAAAGGAACCTACATTCTAATAAAAACTCAACATCTTTGCTCATTATCTCTCTGATGTCATCTAAAGCTGACCTTGCGTTGTCTAAAGTTAAAGATAGCGGCTAACGCTATCGCATCATCGGTTGATTTTTGCTCTCAATCCTTTCATGGGTAGTTTGTTAGGTTCTAATTTTTTCTTTCAAAATGTTAGCCGGTATGTTTTCTCCCAATCAATTTTCTTATTTGTCTTTTTTCATTCAAGTTTGTAACATAATCTATACTGGTGTCACTATTTTGGTTCTTAAATAGCCATAGTTCTTTAATGAATTTTTTTTTCAAATTGTTGAATTTGAAAATGGTTAAACAAAAGATGAAAATGAAGCAAAAGTTTAGCGTTTTTCCATTTAGAAGACATGATTATGTCAATCGATTATTTTTAGAATGCAATAATGTTCAATATTCAATATTTTGTCTATTTTAAATATGTAGTATTATTTTTTTTTTTATTATTCAAATTTTGTGTCGAATCTTACGATTCACGATTCTCAAATTTAGGATTCCGATTCACGATACGAATCGCAATTTGACAAGTATGCTCTAAACTCTCTTCCTCCCTTTTTCTCATCTTTCATATTGGATAAAAACTATTGACGAAATCAACTATTTCATCCAAATTCAAGACATGTCAAAATGTTTATATATCAACCAGTTAAAATTATAGATCAAAAAAATCCATTGTTTCATCCAAAATCAAGACACACCAGTGGGTTTATAAATCAAGCAATTAAAATTGTGGGCCAAAAAAAAAATATTCAGTCATGAACAATGTTATTTACACCTAATTTAATGATGTAATGCATTGTGAACTTTAAATAAACAATGAGTTATTGAATAAAATTCACTATTAATTTAATATGCACAGTACATTTAGTTATAGTTATCAAAATCGTACGATTCATGATTCGATTCGATACAGGTACAAAACGATTCGTATCTTATATGAGAATCGTTTTAGAGTTGAATTGCACATAAATCGTGCGATTCGATTCGTATCTTACGAATCACACGATTCACTCACTTTTTTTAAAACCCAAATTTTTTTCAAAACAACGTCGTTTTGTCCGCTAAACAATAAAACGTTTTTTTTTTACAAAGGAACCCCACATCCTAATAAAAACTCGACCTCTTTGCTCATTATCTCTCTGAAGTCATCTAAAGCTCACATTACGTTGTCTAAAGCTAAAGATCGCGGCTAACGCTATCGCATCATCGGTTGATTTTTGCTCTCAATTCTTTCATGGGTAGTTTGTTCGGTTCTAATTTTTTCTTTCAAAATGTTAACCTGTATGTTTTCTCCCATTCAATTTTCTTATTTGTCTTTTTCCATTCAAATTTGTAACATAATCTATACTGAGTGTCACTATTTTTGTTCTTAAATAGCCATAGTTCTTTAATGAATTTTTTTTTCAATGAAGCAAAAGTTTAGCGTCTTTCCATTTAGAAGACATAATTATGTTAATTGATTATTTTTAGAATGCAATAATGTTCAATATTCAAGATTTTGTCTATTTTAAATATGTAGTATTTTTTTTTTATTCAAATTTTGTGTCGAATCTTACGATTCACGATTCTCAAATTTAGGATTCTGATACACGATACGAATCGCGATTTGACAACTACACATTTAGTTTTCAAATTAAACCCCTAATTAGTAAAACAAGCATTATTGTTTACTGAAAAAAAATTGTTGCCATCCATTGGATGAGTGAGAATTGTTGTCTAAAATTGATTTTTTAATAGTTTTCATCCAAAAGGAAAGATGAGAGAGAGAGAGAGAAAGAGCGGCATAGTTATCAAAATCGTACGATTCACGATTCGATTCATACGATTTGATTTGATACGGATACAAAACGATTCGTATCTTATATGAGAATCGTGTTAGAGCTGAATCGCACATAAATCGTACGATTCGATTCATATCTCACGAATCGCATGATTCAATCACCTTTTTTAAAACCCAAATTTTTTTCAAAACAGCGTCGTTTTGTCTGCTAAATAGTAAAACGACGTCGTTTTTTTTACAGAGGAACCCACATCCTAATAAAAACACAACCTCTTTACTCATTATCTCTCTTACGTCATCTAAAGCTCACCTTGTATTGTCTAAAACTAAAGATCGCAACTAACACTATCGCATCATCGGTTGATTTTTGCTCTCAATCCTTTCATGGGTAGTTTGTCAGGTTCTAATTTTTTCTTTCAAAATGTTAGCCTGTATGTTTTCTCCCAATCAATTTTCTTATTTGTCTTTTTTCATTCAAGTTTGTAACATAATCTATACTGGATGTCACTATTTTAATTCTTAAATAGCCATAGTTTTTTAATGAATTTTTTTTTCAAATTGTTGAATTTGAAAATGGTTAAACAAAAGATGAAAATGAAGCAAAAGTTTAACGTCTTTCCATTTAGAAGACATGATTATGTCAATTTGCTTATTTTTAGAATGCAATAATGTTCAATATTCAATATTTTGTCTATTTTAAATATGTAGTATTATTTTTTTTTTTATTCAAATTTTGTGTCGAATCTTACGATTCACGATTCTAAAATTTAGGATTCCGATTCACGATACGAATCACGATTGGACAACTATGAGAGGACGTGGGGAGAAAGTGGGAGAGAAAATGGAGACGAGTTGACTACAATAAATATGAGAGAAAATTCAAAAATTCTGATGACCACATACGCATGTATCCAATGTTATGAAGCACGGATACGGATACGATACGGATATGGCGATACAGCAAAATCTAAAAAAGTAGAATACAGGTAGGACTAGGATACGTCTATAATAAAATTTATTTCATATTTTGACTGTCATCTACTGACTTAATAATTATATATTTTGATAATTCTTTAACATAAGCAAAATTTGTACTTTTTTTTGAAAAAATATATATCATATCATGATGGTATATTCACTTCGTGACTAATTACATGAATCAAAACTAATATTTACTTAGTTTACTTAGAAATATTTGTTGTTAAAAGTATAAATAGATTCATTTTATGTCCTTTTAACATGTAATAATAGATAAAACATAAAAAAAAATTGTCTTCAAAGTCGTATGAATTTGTGTTCATGTTTTGTATGTTATGTGAATTCAAAGGTAGATGTTTAAAGGTTAGATTCAAAAATTATAAATATTGCTTCATTACAAAAGTATCCGCAAAATATCCAAATATTTTATTGTTATCGGATACATAAGTGTATCTGATACGTATCTTCGAATATCTGACAAGTATCGTATCCGATACGGTATCCAATACAAATACGTTGACCTCAACAAAATATCCGTACTTCATAGATTCAATCTCACTTTTTTATATTTATGTGCACTTTCCACCGTTGGATTCATCCAACGGTATAAGTTCAATATGCGGACTAAATTCCATCCATAATGTTGTGTGCTTCAACATGGTTGTGTGTGTATATATATGAAAACTCTTTTCTTCCAATCTTTCCATATTTGACATACAGCTCCTCCCCTAGCTTGGGATATTTCCAACAAATGCAACTTTCATGCATGTTATGGGCCACATCAAATGCAAAAATTAGATCATTACCTTTGTCCCTTATATTCAGTTTGACCAAGGTTCAAAATTTCGTCTCAATACATTAATTCGGTCACACCTAGGAAAAGAAAACAGAAACAAAAACGGAAACAGAAACGGAAACATTTTGAAAATGTTTCGAAAAATGCTTTGAGAACCTTGAAACATTCTAAAAAATTGATTGAAACATCTTAAAACACCTCAAAATATTTTAGAATACCTAGAAAGATTGGAATTTCAATTCAATCACTGATTCGTTTTAATTTCCTTAGAAATGAAAAAGTTTCGACCATTTCAAGCGTTTAAGAACGAAATTTTGATCCTTGAGTCAAACCCATCCATACCGCACCCACCCGTGTGTCATCATATAAAGTTCAAATCCAACCAATGGGATGCTTTGACCACCATGGCAGGGATTTTTCCATGTTCTCTTCATACCTGTTTTGCAAGCAATGCAAGCTTCTGCTGCACAGCATTCCTCCCACCAGCAACTTGAGAGTCAATGTTATTGGTGTTATATGATGCCCCCATACACTTCAGTACTACACCAACAACCTCTCTAGGAGAATCAACCATTGAGATCTTCCCTGCAAGCTCAGGCCTCCATAAATCAGCCCAGTCCTGCAAGCATAATTTAGTTACTCCAATTATGCATATATGTGAAGTGAACGTAAAACACTATTTGCAAAAAATCTTTTGCCACGGATATCCATATATGCAATAAAGTATCTATATCCACATGTTGTAGAAAAGGTGTGTTGTTGAAAACAGACGCCTCTCTCTCTCTCTCTCTATCTCTTGTCTGCTCCCTTCGTTGAGAACAGACGCCTGTCCGTTTTAATCCCCATGCCCCCCTTTTTTTTTCTTTTATCTTTTTTAGTTTATTATAATCGATTGTTTTAACTTTTAATCCCCCCTCCTTTTTGTTTCTTTTATTCTTTATACTACTGTTATTTACTAAATTGTTATATTAGCAATATACCTTAGTTGTCAAAATTTGCGATTAATTCTATGGTATATTAAATATTTGAAATTAAGTATGTGTTTTCAAAAATTATTTATTCATTGATTTTAAAATTAATGAAATAATATTACTTAGTAATTTGATGACACAATTTCAATTAGTTGAAGTGACTTTCGCCTGGTGTCAACCCTTTTTTTTCCCTTCAACTTGATGTTATCTTGTATAAATGGATGTTAAACCAATAAACATGCTTAATCAATCAATTATTAAGCTTATCTTTATAAATAAAAGAATTTTATTTATGTTTTTACGTGTTTCCATATATTTTCATATTTTTTTTTTGTTTCCATTGTATTTCCGTAACGTTTCCATTTGATTGAAACGGTACACCGAAACAATATTACGATCCTTGGTATAAGATTGTCAGACTCTAAAATTTCAACTTTTGTTAATCACATGTTACCACGTGTTCCAAAGGTGTTGGTCACATGTTTATTTTTTTAGTTATATACATGACCTTAGAAGTGTCATACATGTCTCCAACTAGCATGTCAAACCCGGTGTCTAGAATTGATCCAATAGGGTAGCAACACGTGCTTGAGAAAGTTTGCAAAAATATGTCGATGCCCGACACATGTCTTACACAGACATTGATGCTGGACAGGAAGGATAGGAAAAGGAGAGGAAGAAAGAACTAAGAAATATCAAACTCTCACAAGGATTAGGTCAAGAAACATATAATTCTCTACAGAGGAATAATTTTATTAATATCAGTCTCTCTTTATGAAAATAGTAGGAATTACATCCATAATTATAGCCTAGCCCTCCTACCAAAATAAAAATCAATCTCATATCCAAAATTTAAAATAATTTCATAATAAAACTCTAAAATTACTCTCCTACTAAAACTCTATAATAATTCTCTAATCAAACTCTCAATACTCAATTTTTAAAACAATCCTAGTCAAACAAATATCCCCTAATTAATGTACGAAAATAAATAATAAATTCAAATTCTTCAATTAAGCCTCATTCAATCCCTTTTCAATCTCCATATATTCTCGCTGGCTGGAAAAAAAAAATTTCTCCAAAGAGTTATAATAGCAAGAGTATTCCAAGAAAATCAATGTTAGTTTGCAAAGTACATCCTCTATCTTAATAGCATAGGAACAAGATCTCACGTCAATGAGATAATACTGGGTATCACAATGGGAGGAATCTATATATTGAATCTCCATAACCTTCACATTTTATTTCACGTACAAGGATGGTGGTGAAGAAAGCATAAGAATTGGTGGCAAAAAAAGTAGCAACTCCATCTAAGAAACCAATTTCAAAACTTGTTTCACTTCAACTATAGTAACACCCTTTGAAATCAGCTTGTCAAAAACAATTGATGCCGGACGAAAAAAGGAGAAGAAATAATTAAGGTAAACCAACCTTTCACAAGAATTAGGTAAAGAATTACATAATTCTCCACAAAGAATTTTAGTAATATCACTCTCATGAAAATAGTAGAGATTACATCTATATTTATAGGTTAAGTCTCCTACCAAAATAAAAAATACTCTCCTATTTAAATTCTAAAATAGTTTCATAATCATACTCTCAAATTACTCTCCTACTAATACTCTAATAAATTCCTTATCAAACTCTCATTACTCAAAATTATTAAAGCAATCATAGTTAAACAAATATTCCCTAAATAATATAATAATCGAAAAAATAATAAATTCAAATTCAAGATTATTCAATCCCTTTTCAATCTCCATCACACATTACTTTCTTCGAAGTATTTGTGCTTCTTAGTCTATACTATCTGGCATGCACCAACAGACAATGTATCACTTTTCTACCTCGACTATTACATAAGCAAAAGGGGAATTAGAAGGAAGAGAAGATAGTTCTAGACCTCACACCTAGAAAGCCAAGGAATCTTACCTAGGGGCTCTTTAGCACCACACCAAAAAAAAGATTGCATCACACAATCTTAAAAGCTTAGAAAAACTTCTGAAAATTTCATATATTCATTCATCATACTTCAAGTCTTGAAGTTACATCAATATATAGGACTTCAAAAACTAATTAATGTTGAAACTTTTCAACTCCCAAAAAGCTAGATACAATGAATGAATCTGTGGATACATGCATAGAAAACTTGTGGTTAATGTAACTAAATGAAAAGTCATAAGGCAAATGAAAAGTCATGGAGACTTTTAGAAATAAGCCCATGTCTAGTCAATATCCCAAGTGGGCCCAACATTATCCAACATATGTCAAATTAAGGCTTGGGCCTTAGAACCATCCCGCCCACATCTTTTATATACCTTTATTGGACGTTGTCATTTTTCATCAACTCTCCCCGGCTTGAGAGAACTCGACCCTAGCAAGTTAAAAGCATGGAATTTTTCATAAATATCAAGGTTGAGATGTTGGAACTGTTCATCGGTAATCCTGGTGCATTCTGAAAATGGACGCCCCTTCCATTTAATGAGATATTTCTGATAACCACCACTTCTAGTTGAAACAATATGATGATCAACCACGTCTTCAATTTCATCCCTTAAATATGTGGCTTGGGGTAGAGAAGTAACTGGTTTAGGGTGTACATCATTGTCAGTGTGTCCAGAGTAAGATCCTCAATATTAAAGACATTACTGATGCTCATATCTTCAGGCAAGTCAAGAACATAAGCATTGGAGCTAATTTTCTTAAGAACCTTAGATGGACTAGCACTCTTTGAATGAAGCTTCTTATAAGCACCTTTAGCATACAGTTCAGGCCTCACTCAGACCATAACCATGTCTCCATCGAATTCAGCAAACCTTCTCCTCAAATCAACATGTCGTTTGTAGCTCTCATTGCTTACGGCAACCTTTCGTCGAACCTCAGCATGTATATCAAAAATATGCTTGCTAAAGGCTTCAGCTTCAGCACCTAGGCAAGCCTCGATAAGTAACGGAACCAAATCAATTGGTTTTCTAGGAAGCAAACCTGTAACAATCTCAAATGGGTTACGACCTGTAGATCTATTGACAGAGCTATTATATGCAAATTCAGCCATAGGAAAAAACCTGATCCCAACTACTAACATGATACCTAACAAGGCAGCGAAGTAGGTCTCCCAAACTGCGGTTGACAACCTCCGTTTGAACATCAGTTTAAGGGTGGAAAGCGAAAGATTTTGAACATCAATTTGCGGGTGGAAAGCAGAAGAAAACTTCAACTTTGTATGCAGCAACTTCCATAGAGTGCACCAAAAATAACTTACGAACTTCACATCACGCTCAGATACAATAATTCGAGGCAATCCGTGAAGACGAACAACTTCTTTAAAGAAAAGCTTGGCAATGTGAACAGCATCGGATGTCTTCGAACAAAGAATAAAGTGAGCCATTTTTTAGAAGCGATCCACAACCACATAAATGGAGTCCTATCCTCGAAGGGTCATGGGCAATCCAAGGACAAAATCCATACTTAAATCCTGTCATGGCTCGTGTGGCACAGGTAGTGGGATGTATAAACCAGTATTCTTCTTTCTTCCTTTCGAAAGTTGGCAAGTTCGACATTGCAAAACTACCTTGGCTACATCCCGCTTCAGCTTTGGCCAATAAAAGCGATCTTCAGCCATTGCAACTGTCTTATCTCTTCCAACATGACCTACTGTCCCTTCAGAATGTAATTCCCAAATCACTAATTCACGAAGAGAAATGTTGGGTAAGCAAAGTTGGGTTCCCTTGAAGAGGTAGTCATCATGTAAGGAGAAATCATCATATCCTCCCTCCTATTCAGCCAATAACTTAGCATGTATAACTCTGAAATCCTTGCAAGAAGGATAGTCCATTTTGAGCAAATCAAAACCCACAACTTGTATAGTCATGGAAGAAAGAACATACACCACTCGACTAAGTGCATCAGCTGCCTTATTCTCATAACCAGCCTTATGTTTGATAACAAAAGAGTATTCTTGCAAAAATGAAACCCACTTACCATGCCGATGATTCAATTTCTTTTGGGAGTTAATTTATTTGAGTGCTTCATAGTCAGAATACATCACAAACTCCTTAAAAAGAAGATAGTGGCGCCAATACCGAAGTACCTATATTAATGCATAAAACTCCTTGTCATAGGTAGAGTACTTTTGCTTGGCTTCGTTGAGCTTTTCACTGAAGTAAGCAACAGGGTGCCCTTCTTGAATAAGCACACCTCCAATCCCAACATGGGATGCATCGCAAGCAACCTCAAACACTTTTCAGTCATCATTTTCTTTATTTCTTCAAAGGCCTTTGTTGCTGCTTTGGTCCAAACAAACTGTCCCACCTTCATACAGTTGGTTATAAGTGTCATAACTGTGCTGAAATTCTTGATAAAGTGACGATAAAAAGTTGTCAACCCATGAAAACTTCATACTTCATGCAAGGAACTAGGAATCGGCCAATCTAGAATGGCTTTCACCTTACTTGGATCAGCCTCCACTCCTTTAGATGAAACAACAAAGCCCAAAAACAGAACACTTGGGCTCATGAAAGAACACTTCTTTAAATCCATGTAGAGCTTCTCATGGCGGAGAACCCTCAACTTGTTGAAGATGAAAGATGTGTTCTTCCTTGGTCTTGCTAGATATTAGAATATCATCAAAGTAAACAACCAAAAATTGACCAATAAATGGCTGCAATACCTATGTCATAAAGCGCATGAAGGTACTAGGGGCATTTGTAAAGACCGAATGGCATGACTAGCCATTCATAGAGGCCATCCCTTGTCTTGAAAGCTATTTTCCATTCATCTCCTGGTCTTATGCGTATTTGATGGTATTCACTTTTTAGATCTATCTTCGAAAATATGCAAGAACCAGCCAATATATCCAACATATCATCAAGCCTTGGAATGGGGAATCGGTATTTGATTGTGATCTTGTTTCTAGCACGGCTGTCAACACACATGCGCCAATTGCTATCTTTCTTTGGCGTGAGCAATGCGGGGACAACAAAAGGGTTTAAACTTTCACGAATAAATCCCTTAGACAGCAGCTCATTCACTTGCCTTTTAAGCTCTGCATGTTCACTTGGATTCATGCGATAGGCTGAAAGATTAGGCAATTGTGACCATGGAACGAGTCCATTGCATGCTAGATATTGGGCATTGGAGGAAGTTCATTTGGTAGTTCTGCGGGTGCAACATCAGAGAAGGTAGATAACAGCTCAATCACCTCCGGTGATATTGCAGTGGATAAAACAGCTTCTGTTTTGGATACTTCTTTCATCACCACAGCATATATGACCCCCGATTCCATGCTCTCTTGTTGAAAGCGCTTCTTGGTGAGAACATGAAGGAACTTTGGCTTAACATCAGCATCATCCTTCGGCTTATTTTCTTTGAATTTCTCCATTTCAACTATAGTCAACAGCTTCAAAACAATCTCTTTGTTGTTAAATGAGAAAGAGTATGTATTTTTTTTTCCACAGGGATGTACATCTCTATCATAAAGCCAAGGCCTTCCAAAGAGGATGTGAGTAACTTTCATAGGAATCACAT